CTTCTTTAGGTTGGCCCTGTAACAATGGTGTCATTCTGTGTTGAAAACACAATTCACTATACTGAGACCTCCAGTACTCCAGCACCACCTAGCAGGCCACAGACTAAAACACTATTAGGCAACATAGCTTCTGACTAAAAATCGCAAACAACGATTTATATAATTAGCTCCAAATAATAATAATTTTTTTAGGGAAAAAAAAAGCCATGTTATTAGCAATTCGTTACTGTGGAACACAATCCCAGAAATAACATGCCTGTGCTGTAAAATCACTAACCTTTACCAGGATCTCTATTACAAAAATTCACTTGAATCTTGGAGTGAATTTCTGCCAATTGCCAGAGGCCCACCAGCAGATGGCAGACAGCACCACGACTCCTCAGCAGCCTTACTAAAAAACGTAGCAATGGGATTTAGCTTTCACATGAATTCAAACGATAATTACATAAATTGTCCCACCGACAAGCCCAGATCTGTAGCCAACTAGCCACTCTTCCTGGTAGCCAAGAATGATACAGATTTGAAGTACATCCTTTTGCAATGAAGAGCAACCTGCTCAGGGGAAATACACTATTACAGGAAGTTTATATCTTAGGTACAGTTGATTCTATTCCTAATATATCTAAAATGAAATTAAGAAAAACAAAGGAATAAAAATTTAGAAAATAAATAGTAAATATTCTCTCCTACATCTAAAAAGCATACCCCAAGTTGGACATCAAAGACAACATGCCACAGGGTGAAGTCTATGTCAGTTATCAGGTTTCCAACACACGTCATCTCGCAGAGCCACCAAGGACCATTCTCCCCATTCCACTCAGTACTGCCCAACCTGCACAGCTCTGAGGAACTCAATGTTCAGAGTAAATCAGGCTGAATGAGCAGCGTCACTATCTCGGTGTTATTCAACACAGGAAGTTCTCCGGCTCATCAGTTATTTCACATCTTTGTATTTGAGCCTTTTTAATCTTGTTCAAAATGTGAGAAGGGTTTTTTTTAACCACTTTTTATAGAAGACAGCCAGGGAAAGGTGAACTTTCTGGAACTCTCTACAACAGTAGAGAATACACCATTGTCTCATTTTACTTTAACCATTACCTTACAAAGTAAATATAAAACCATAAGTAATATGAAATTATTCTCTGAAGAGGAGATTGACCCTACAAGGAAGTCTTGCAAGTCTGGCATGACAATTAATAGAGCAGCAACTGCTTAGTCAGCAGTTCAGACTTCACCTCTGAAGATGAAGAAATGGCCACATACCATGTGGCAGAGAATATAAGGAAGAAGGTTTATACTAAAGAGAGAACTGCAACCACACGGCTAGAATCCTCAACCTCATTTTCAAAAATTATGTTTAGTTTTTCTGTTCAAGGAGTACAGTGAGTTTCAGTTCAGTATTGGGAGCACTTTAAAAAAGTGAAGTCCGTAAGTATTAGAAAAGATAAATTAAAGGTTCAAAATCTCTTTCACAAAACTATCTAACTTTCCACTGACAGGCTTCTACAAATGTTTTCCCATCACCACAGTTGGCAGAAGGAATATACATGGTTTCTTATTCCTGGAACATCTCAAACTTTTCTGGGCATCAGATAGCAAGCAATGCCTGTAAGATGTAGTCCTAATTAATGGGTAGCACATTGTCAGATATTTTTTTCACAAAACACTGGAGACAGTGCTTAAGATGCTCTGTATGGGGTGTGAGGGAACAGGACACACACAAAAAAACCCACATGCCTCTCCACAAATGTAAATACATATTCACAATTACTGTAGTACTTCTAAACAATAAACATGAGGGGAAAAGTCATCCCTTGCCCACCCATAAATGCTCCAGCCCTGGAATATTATGACCTTATGGCATTACTTCCAGCAATCAATTTAATTTGCATTAAGTTTTGTCAATAGAAGTATTTGCAAGAAACACAGTCCCAACCTTCCTCCTCTACAAAGATGACAACCTTCTCTTCAACAAGCTCTTTTTCTTTTCTAAAATTAATAAACCCTGATGCTCTTCATGCCTTTCTTGATAAGAAAACGCATCCATATGCCTGATCTTCAAAACACAGTCCAAGTTCTAACTCTTTACAACAGGATGCCTGCAGGTCAAGATTTCAAATAAACAAACCCCCAAACTAAATCATAAGAGATTTTCCACATTACTATCCTTCTGTTCCTTATACACAGTGCCCCCAGTTTTTACTATATTTGGGTCTTGAGAGCCAAAAACACCACTGAGATGCCCACAACGATGTTTTATGTCTTTTTTCCCCTGATTACTTCCTTGGTTATTTTAGGGATTTGAAAGGACCCTTCCCACCAGAATACAATCTACTAGGACCAGAGCCATCTGTCTTAAGAGCAGATGACCAGCTGAAGGTCATCCTCTGAAATCCCTACATACATTTAGAAGGCACACAGATCAGATAAACATCTATCACTCCATAATGACAGTACTCAGCATTCAGTCTGCCCTGGCTGCTTTCTCAAGTCAAGGATCTTAGTGGCAAATGACAGACACATTAATCCAGACTACCACACATGTATGAGCTGAAAGATTCTGTCTAACAATAAATTGTGCTTATGTAGTTTAGCATGTTAGAATTCAATGTATTTCCAGTTCTGAAGTTGTTACTGATAAACAGCCTAGCTATCAGTGTTGTTTCAGAAGCGGAAAACTAATGTCTATAGATTTGCCATTGCTAATTTTTTTTTTTTTTGCTTTGCAAATACTTTCAAAGTTCAAAAGAATGCAATTTAAGAACAACAAACAATGTGTAGGATTGGTAGTGGTTAGAAAGTAAAAAAAAACACATTACTGAATGCCAGCAAAGATATTTAGCAAAGGAAAATCCTCTGATACCTACAGTGCCAAAAAGAGGGAGCAGAAACAATGCCCATAGCTTTGAGTATTCTGGCTTTCCCATACCACACTCCCACTTCTCTCTAGCTATCTTCTATTGTATTATAACATATAATAAAAGAATGAAATGCTCTAGCAATCAAGGCTGGTATATTAAAATGACACTGCATTACTGAACCTACTCATCTCTTAATAGAGCTACTCTTCAAAGGAGATTAATTATACTGGCAAGAGACCTTTTGCTATTCTAATTTGTGAAACTTATTTCAATACCACAAGGATATTAAAACAGCTGAAAACATGTAACTTGCTCCAAGATCCCAGGACTCACTTAATTAGGTGTTCATCTTGTGACCAGCTCTTTAGTCATTGCTTTAGAAGTCCACTTCACATAAAAACACTTAATTTCTTGTCTTAATTAACTACAAATGGAATTAACATGCAGCCTGCCATAAAGTATACAGAGATAGGAAAGTGACCATAGGCTTCAGTACCTAACACCATCACAGAGGGACAAATACCAGATATACAGCTGAATTTCTCTGCTTTATTTACAAAGCAGAGAATTTTAGATTATTTTAAAATAAGTTATTGGCATTGTTTCAGATGAGAACATTTGATAGATAGCACAAACTCTGCCATGACAAACTGAAAATACATCATGTTAGTAATATGCAGAACTGTAACATGCGAACACATCTGCAGCTTGCTGAATTGTACACAGATGTTAAGCAACAAAATAGTATTCCAAATTAAATATCTGAGAACTAATTCTTTGTTTTAAAGCACAGTTATTTTCATAAACTCAAGCTATAAAGCTTTAAGGCATTTCCCCGCCTCTAGGGAATAGGCCTGTATTTTAACATTTTACTTTTTTTAATACCCATCAGATAAATGCTTAGATGCTAAGTTCATGTAAGCATTTTCCCTTTCTGTTGATACAGCCAAATTATAACGCCTGCTAAGAATAGAAGTTTAAGGAAACACTGAACAGGCACTAAACTAAGACACAGTGCAATTAAATCAGAATTATTTCAATATAGTAGCATGTCTGAAAATGCTAAGACTACAAATAGTTCATTGTGAAATTAGTGGTAACACAAATGTATGCCTTTTTGAACTTTAAAGATTTAAGCTTCTTTTCATAGCCTGGTGGTACCAAACTCTCTAGGATCCAAAAAAAAATTCTAAGGCTACATCCAAGTTACACCCTTTTACTTAAGGGGTCATTGCTTCTAAACTCTCTTACAATGTAATATAAGTTTACCCAGTTACTTGCTGCTCTATAAAGTAGTACACACCAAAACTTCCTCATTTGAGAGGAACTTGTTATACAGGCAACTCTATGGATGTTCGGCAAAAAAAAAATGTTAGCTTTGCTTTTAGTCTACTATTTACCAAAAATTTCTGTTGCATATACAGCTGCTCACAAATAACTGTCTTTTTCTACTCGTATTTTTCTTCTCCTTGCACTTCAGTGATTTTAATTAATTAGAGGTAATAAGGAACATGTACAAACAATGTATGTTTCTTCTGGTATTAAATTCAGTCTTGACTAGAGCCATCTGAGTTTCCCCCCCCATACAGAATACTCTCTTCTTAGAAAATGCTAATTTGGCAGATGCAACATTCTCCAAAAATACATTCACTTTATCAAAATCTTTTGAGAGAAACCAGGCTGAAGAGCAGATGTCAGCTCCAGCTCTTTAATTCCTTGGACAGTTATCCCTTTCAGCTTCATCCCCCTAACTGTTCTCTAGGAAAACAGGCAGATGTAGCTACTCAGAAGTTTCCTGATTAAATTTGTTTTAAATGGTCCTGTTCCCATGCTCACATCTCCCTAGACACCCACTAGTATTTTCTTTCAGGTATCAGGCAACTTAAGTAGCACTGAGAAGAATCATCTAAAAAAATAAATTATTCTTCACGCACACACTTGATTTTCCTGGCTTTTGTCAAAACTAGAATGAACACATTGTCTTCCTAACTTGCCCTCTACCCTAAAAAGGGCCCACAAGAAAAACTGCTGCATTCACTGATCAGGAGCAGGGAAAGCAAGGTAAAAACTCAAGCACAAGATCACACCACTTTTTATTTATAGCACAAAATCATCATGAGTATTCCCAGATTCACTCACCAAACCAGCAGTAAGTGAAGGAGCAGATTGTCCTAGAGACTGATTTCTCATGCGGACCAAGTTTGAGGTATCTCCAGGTGGCTGCCATACCGTCTGTCCCACCCCACTGTGGACACTATTTGATAAGGGAAGCAGCTGTTTTCCTTTAAAAACAAAACGAAAATACTATCAGCTTGATTTTAAACAAGTTTGCAAGTTCAATATGCAATGCTGAAAAATACTGCATGTAGAGAAAAAGCATTTAATGAAAAAAGCAATTTAAAGGTTTTTGGTAGGTTAGAACTTGTAAGAGCACACTACCTGTGAATTCATTATGTTTGATAACTAAGTATTTCCAAAAAATCCAGTTTACATTATGAGGTAATGGGTAAATCCAAAACCTTGTAGAAACAGACTTGTATCATTTTCTACCTTTCTATATTTCACAAAGCTTAAAAAGGAAATATTTGCTGTCAATTAAACAATTTATTGCCCTACAGAAAGGCAATGTTAACGTTGCAAAAATCTCTTAACTATAATTTTTAAAATTCTTGTGAAAATACATTCATAAACTATTACCGCTTCTAAATAGCTTAGCCATCTAGACATCTCCACTTTCTCCTACAATCGGAATATTCAGCAGTAGCTTTCATGCAGCTGTGATCAGAATATAGGGTATGTTTAAACATTGTTTTGCTTTGAACCATGGATGGATATTTTGTCTTAAAAATATCACTCTTCAGTAGTATCATATTATCTTAAAAGCAACACATTCTGTAGCTTTCCCCAGTCCTCCCTTGCATCTGATTTGTTAAGTGTAGATGCTAATCTTCCATGCTACATACACAGTGAGAAAAGTAGTTCCTATCTCAACAAGTTCACACCATTGTACTTTACTGCAGGAAATACAGTAATCATTTAAAGGGATCTGCTCGATACATTTTTTTTTCTAGTCAATATAACACTCCTTTTTGAAAAATGTCAAGCATTATGTTTCCACAATGAGAAAGAGCCAAAGTCAAAGTAGGTCATATTTTGACTCCATCAAGCTTGACAGTTTCCTTTTATGTACAATGTCATTCACAAAAAAAAAGAAAGATAGTCTTGCAGTTAAAAACACTAAGTGAAAAAGTCTGTAAATCTGGGTTCCATTATTAGCTTCCAGATGACTTCCTCTGTAACTCTGGTCAGTCAACCTCTGTACTTCAGTTTCACCATCTTCAAAATGTGAGTAATAACCATTTTCCTTAAAATTAGGACTGTGAGACTGAATTACATACATATCCTTTCAAGCATGGTGAAGATAGTTAAATTCAACAAATTATTACATGCTCAGATACTACAACAGGAATCACAGGGGACTAAGACATCTGTTGCAATAAGTAGCAGGAAGAAGTCTACATCTTTAATCACATATACTATAGAAAAATGCTTTTTTCTTAGAGGCAGCAAGCTACTTTACAAATTCAACTTCACATTAAAATTAGATGCGATAGATTACATTAATTACATAAAGGCAGGCTACAATATTTGGAAGACTGTCATACAATGTGATTAGCCATGACACCAGGGGGATGAGGAATGAGAGTGGTGTCTTTTTTGTTTGTCCTTTTGTTTGGTTTTTTGTGGGTTTTGGGTTTTTTTTTCAACTGGTTTATATTAATTCTCTGTGAAAGTTACTAGCAATGGGCAGTACACATCAACAGAATGAGTCAAAGCATGTGGGAGAGAAGAAGGCTCAACTTTGGTGAGCAGAGACACAGTGTATTAGTTCCTTTTTCCCAGTCCCACTCAAGCTGCTTACAGCTGTGGACATGATTTTCATGGTTTGCTCATTTTCAAGATTATGTGTGAATATAACAAATGCTCTTGTCCGCAGAGGTCCAGAACTACAGAGATGTACATTGCTGTATTTATCTCAGTAAAGGACTAACAAAGATATCCTATAACAGCAATTCAAATCATATAATTATCTAACAGTTCAAAATGCCAGTGCTTGAGAGCAAGAATACTATTATTTAAATCTCCAATAGATATAGTTATCAATATCTCCTTTCATAGTTCAAAAAAATCTGAACCCAGGAAGACAGAATTCCATCAAGAGACAAATCTAAACCAATCAGTTTGCATACATAATCATCTATACTCTTTAAACTTATTTGCTTCTGTTGCAAAAATAAGGTGGAATTATTTTCAAGGTAGAGCTTTAAGTTAAAAGCCTTTCCCTGCCATGCCTCAAGTCCTACATACATTCCAAGCACCCACTTTTAAAATATGTATATCTAAACAGCTGTATTTTCTTTATTCAGTTGGGTCAAACTGATCTTGCTGGGGCTCTTTTCCCCTTCCTGAATCAGGCCATAGTAGATTGAAAAGTCATTAAGATGAAGAAACAAGTTCTGGAGAACGCTATCATTTCAGAAAATCTACAAGAATGTTATCTCCAAACAGAAAAATAATTTTTTAAAAAGAAACAGAACTTCTCCAGTTTTCCTGCTTCCTCCTATTTACTTTTCTTTGCTTATTTCTAGTCAAGGGAAAAAAAAAACAAAACACCACCACCCTAAAAAAACAAACTACAGTACTACCTTGGGCCATTGTAATCAGCTGACAGATGCTTAGTTAATAACTTCTATTCCCTTCTAGCGATCAAACTTATCTTAGAGAACAAACTTACATGAGTGCAGAACATTAGGAATATTTCCATTTTTCAGAAACAAGCCACTTATTACAAATAAAACATTAAGACAAGGCCAACTCAAAATAAAATGTGCATACTTTACTGCTTACTTAATTCCATTACACCTAGCACGCACCTCAAACTATAAGATGTTTACCCTCCCCTGATAAAAGGCTGAGGGACCAGGACTGGATGTATTTTCAAGTCAAGCCCATGCTGCTGCCAAAATGGGTGGTTTCACCCTCTTCCTCTTCCCTTCCCACCTGAGAGTTTCCAACCCTTCTTGTTCTTACACTAACATGCAAATAAGGGAACAGTCAGCCTAATTAGGGAGGAAATGGGCTGCAAGTTAACCCTACAGAACAGTGGTATTCAGGCAGATCAGCTATTTTATTCCAGACTGATCATGCAACTCTGTATGTTCTAATGCCAGCATCACAGACCGATACCAGCTTTAAACAGTTGTGAAACCATCCCCTAGCCCACATATGAAGTCTTTAAAAAAGAAAATTACTGAGCTTGGTCCTCTTTTTTGGATAATTACTAGACTATGCTCACTCCATGGTTCTACATTTGACAAACTAAATTCTCTGACAAGGCTGAAGATTGTATTCACAAGAAAAAAAAAAAAACACACCAAACTTTATACAAACTGAAAAAACATCTAGTTAGTAAGCAAGATTTTTACTTTGAATCACAAATGCCTACAGTGCTTCTGAAGCCAAAAAGAAACTAAGTAACAGTTTGAACCTGATATAAAAGTCAAGTTCCCAGTAAGAAATAAGGCAAAGCAGGCAAGCTTGCCCTCAATGCTGACCTTATAAGTGGAAGAGGTAAGAATGCATCACTATGTTGTCTAAAGTTCTACCACTCGCCTCTCTTAACTTCGCACATTAAGTCTTAGCTTCTAACTGCTCACTCCGGGCAATATATAGTATTTCACTCCAAATCCAGACTCTTTTTCACTCTTCTACTATTTTGGGGGTTTTGCATCTTTCTCTTACATAATTTTTTTTTATGTCCTCCCAACAAGACATCACCTCTAGTTTTAAAGAAATTATTTTACGGCAACAAGTAATACTGCATCTTTAATACTAATGAATTGTCATATGGTCTTTACAAAATGGCTTACCTGACAAAGAACTTGCCAAACTACCTCTTCGTAGCTTGCAGTCATCTTGACTTAGCTGACGATGGAGCTTGGTTTTCCCAGCAGATGAAAAGATGTCAGGATTGCTGAGCTTCCTGCAGCGTAATGGAGTGGACTCTGTTATCTCCTGTAGAATGAAAAACAAACAGAAGTTTGTAAATGACAGCTAAGTATCTGTTTTCTGAAACACACAATCTCCACAGGATAAATGAGACTGTTTAAGGAAAAAAAACACACACAGACACACAAACACCCACTTAAAATTTTAAATCCCCCTCTTTTGTGCCACATATCTGCATGGAAAGCACATCACAAGATCCCAATCAAATGTGATCCTTGAACACTAGTGCTGTAAGGAATATCATTAATAATAGTCAGAAAAAGGCAATTATGCTACAGCAGTTATTTGCTCTTACATTATGGAGGAAAAGAGGCTACTGAAAAATCAGGCTTAGCTTTGATTCAAGCTATTTACCGCTAAAGAGTATTTACTCCGAATTTCCTGATTATTTACTCTATCCAGTCTATGGCTAATATACCTATAAAAAAACATTTGCAATGTCCAATTGCAACCCAAAACTCCTGTAAGTTACAGTTCTACTACAAGTCCATAGGTATCACTAAACGATAATTAGGATAGAGATCATCTTTTGTGTAATGTTCAATGAAAATAGCAGTAGGTAGAACAGTAGCAAGCACAATCATAGTGCCTTCCTCATGCATTTAATTATCCTGGAGGTGTTGAACACGTTTCACACCCAAAGAATTACAAACATAGATATCATACATGGATTTGAAGATAATGTGACACTTTCTGTTACAGCCCATAACAGATGAAGTCGGTCAAGTTCTCCTTTCTCTGCAGTAGTGCAACACACTCCACATGTCTTAAGGGATTGCTCCATTTTATTTCAAATGCCTCTCATTAGCTGTACAGCACTTCAAGCCATGCTTATCCTCAAAAAACCTCTTAAGAGAAAAAAATAAACACTGCATGATAAATCACCACATGGTTTAACATAGTTTTAAATCAAGTTTACATCAAAAATTAATCTACCAATTGTGGGGTTTAATTAAAATTTGCAGATTCCAGTCAAAATCTATTCTGAAGTCATTAATTCAAATGTATTCAGTCTACAGTGTTATGCCTCAAACTGTCAAATCCAGACCAGGACTACACACTATAAAAACTTCAAGTTTTGTTGGTTTTGTTTGCTTGTTGGGGTTTTGGGTTTGTTTGGGTTTTGGGGTTTTTTTTTGTTGTGGGGTTTTTTTTTCGGGGGGGG